AAATAATAATGTCTGAGTAATATGTCATCTAAAACATAGCATGAGTTGCATTCTCTCCTGCACAGCGCCTTTGGTCTTATCTTTTTCAAGTATAGATTTAAAAGAAAAATAAACCAGATCTGCTTCAAATACTAATTTGATCATGTATCAATTAATGATATAATCATATTTGTATACTTGCCTTCTTACTACCCAACACTCTCCACTTTATTCCTCACACTATCATCCCTTCCCCGTCCTACTTCTCTTAACTTTCCTGACACTTTTACTATCTGCCTTTCCTTTTTACAGCTCTACTCTAATATTACATCTCTTTCTACTCATCTCTCTATTCTGCCTTCCCAGGTAAAGATATTATTTCTTATTCTATAAAATTTGTTTATATTTTAGCTTTGGCATTTGTCTTACTCTTTCATATGCTCTATGTGTTCACATCCATCTTCCCACTAGATTTTAAGTGCTTGGAAAATACTGATTCTTACAAACCGTAGGGTCACACACACTCTGTGTGTGGCATTACATTTAGTAGACAAGCAATAAATGTGACTTCTTAAAATTAATTTAAAAAAATTCTATGCAGACATGTTATTAACAGTTTTATTTTTGTCAGAATGGAACAGAGTCAGTTTGATGAATTTTTGAGATTATTGCAGATGCTTCCTAGGGTGGTTCTCAGTTTTTATAAGACTGTAATTTTTTAAAGTCTGTATTTTTACTCTTAAACTTTCCATTGAAAAGTCTCTTACTCTTAGATATATGTTTAAAACAATACGATATGGAATATAGTTAACTCAAAGAACTGGAGAATTAGAATTCTAAAAATTGTAAATAGTTCTTTGTTTTTCCATTATTTACCCAGGTTAAATTATGTAGCTTTTTCATGAAGTTCAGTGACTTTTTATTTATCTCCCACTTCCCCAAAAAAATCAAAGGCAAAAAAAGTGATTTAAAGTTATTTTTAGAGCTACAAGATTTTTTTAAATGGAAAAATTAAGGTCAGAAAATATGCTAAAACTAGGTTGATATTTGCACCTAACATGTATGCTCTGATACCCTGTAGTAGTGGTGCTAGAAGTGGTTCACAAAATTGGTTATCTTTTCCTAGTGGGAAGATAAATATGAAAAACATGGTTAGTGTATTACCTGATTGTTGCTTTTGCATAACTGCTCTGAAGTGTGTCCCATCCTGAGCTAATCTCACTGTCTCTGACACACCTACCCCCATTACCAGAGCCACTGTGTCAGACCATCTCCTCTAGGGTCTTCCTCTCATGCACTGTCCCTTCATCCTTCCAAGCTTGATGTCCTCTTCCAGAGACTAGTCCCTCCTGGCAACATGCCCATAGTATGTCAGATCTACTTACTAAGCACAAACATGTTTGTGGCTGCCATATGAAGTACATTAAATGTATCCTCTGCAATATCTATTCATTAAAGCTGCTTAGTGTTTGACTATTCATAGTAATCTTTTCCGTGTAGGCCAGTGATAGATCCATTACAAAATGCTTTATAAGATGCAAAAAAAAAATCCATGAGAATATGCAGTTCTTTTGTACTGGCATGATTCACAGAAGACATTCCCAAGACCTTTATGGTTTAGAGGATGGTCTCATTTTTTAATTGGTGATTTATAAAATAAAATAGAACTCTTTTTAGGGCATATTTAAAATTCTTAAATTATTAACGAACATATTTCAGAATACAAATCTTCCTACTTGTGTCTTTGGTATCCTAATCTCCAGTGTGTCGGCACTGTAGTCACAGGAAGTAGAAGCCTAGGAATGATACACATATACCTATGTGAACAAATCTGCTAGTCTCCTCCTGTGGCTAGAATTTTTAAAGAAAAAAGAGTAGCATAACCAATCATAGATTTTTACAGTGAGTAGACTGTTGGGGGGGAGGGGAAGGGAATTGATTAATGGTAGCTGCTGCAGATTAATTTGGTAAAAAAAATTGCAGTTAATACTTATGTGACTATGTTCTTGTATACCTGACTCATAGCTGACCTTCCAGTGGGTTTTGCTCATCTTTCGCCTAACGAGCAGTTGGTAGATTCGAACTGCTTGCCTTTGGATTGCCAGCTCGACCCTTTACTACTTAACCACCAGTGCTCCTTTTTAATTGACTATAGTTTTGGAATTATTGGTCTACTACAGAACTAGTTGATAAACATTTCCTTCAGTGATCCAGTATTCTGTAACTGCCAGTTCAGTCCTGTCCTACTAGCCAGATGGCTGTTGAGCATTTGTGATGTTGGTAGAGGAACTAAACTTTCTTTTTTTCTTCTGCAGAGGTTTTATTACTTGGATAGTAGGGACACTGCAGACAGAGTTGCACTCAGTCCTTCTTGAAAACCACCTTCCTCATGGTGCCCAGGGCATTTCTCAGTTCCTCTGACTCCCCTTCCTCTTGGCATAGAAGTGCGTCCCCACCCTTTCCTTGGTGAAATTGAGAGTTCTCTTCTTCTTGGAGACATTGAACAGCTGAGTGGTGCACGGCGCACTAGTGTAGGATGTAAAGCCTCTTAAATGAATCATGTCCTTCCTGTATGACCTTGACATCAGCTTGCTTATTTTCTTGGTTACATTGTGGCTCTTTTGGAGTAGCACTCAGCAGTGGCTGCTATACATCAGTGACTACTGTGATGGAAACAGGAACTAAACTTTAAATTTTAAGTATCCACATTTGGTCTTCCTGTCCCACACTGTCCCTCCACCCTCCCAAGCATGACGTTCCTCTCCAAGGATTGCTCCCGCCTTGCAACATGTCCAGAGTATGTCAGAAAAAGCTTCAGAATCTTTGCCTTCAAGGAGCAGCCTGGTTCCACCTTCTCTAGGACAAACCTGTTGGTTCTCTTAGCAGTCTATGGTATACGAAATACTCTTCAACACCATAGCTCAAAGTAGTCAGTTCTCCTTCTATCATCTCTAGTCTTTTTCCAGCTCTCTGATGCATAGCAAGTGATTGCAAAGACCATGGCCTGTATCAGGTGCACCTTAGTCTCCAGACTGACATTGGTGCTCTTCAGTACTTTGGAGAGGTTTCTGACAGCAAACTGTTCGAACACTATATGTCTTTTAATTTCCTGGCTCCTGGTGCCAAGAGTGTTGATTTTGGAGCCAAGCAAACTAAAACTGTTTACATTCTCAATCTCTTCACCATCCATCATGATGCTGCCAATTGGCCCAGTGGTGAGAATCTTTGCCTTCTTGGTGTTGAGCTTCAATCCATATTGAAGTCTGCAGTCCTTGACCTTCTGCAGCAAGTGTTTGAGGTCCTCATCAGTTACAGCAAGCAGGGTTGTGTCATCAGTGTCATGTATATTGTTGATGAGTCTTCCTACAATCCTGATGCACAGTGCAGGAGAGGAAGACCCTCAATGAGATGGATTGTTTTAGTGACTGTTGTAATGGAGGTTAGTGTGTCAGAGACAATAAGATTGGCACAGGATTGAGCAGAGTTAAGGGCTATTGTACATAGTGTCTCTGTGAGTCACAGACGACTCAATGGCAATAATAACAACAACACCCACATTTGGTGTTATTGTTATATGCTATCGAGTTATTTGCAACTCATTGTGACCCTGTGCACAAAAGCTCTGAACCCTGTCCTATACTGAGCCAATCTGACTGTCTCTAACACACCTACCCAGTTACTGTGTATTAAAGATTGTAGTTCTTTACCTTCTGCAGCTATTATTTCAGGGCCTCCTCAGTTCCGATGATGAAGGTTCTATCATGTTATTAATGAGTCTCCAATCCTGATGCCACATTTCTCCTAAAAGAGTCCAGCCTCCCAGGTGATCTGTTCTGCATATAGATTGAAAACATACGGAGACAGGACACATCCCTGACACACTTTTCTGTTTTTGAACCATCCATTATTTCCTTGCTCTGTTCTGACACTACTTTCTGATCTGGGTATAGGTTTCCCATGAGCACAAGCAGGTGTTCTAGAATTTCCATTCTCCTCAAGGTTAGCAACAGTTTGTTATGATTCACATAGTCAAATGCCTTTACATAGTCAATGAAACATATTCTTCTAGTACTCTCCTTTCAGCCAAGATCATTCTGATATTTCTATGATGTTTCTTGTGCCAAAGCCTCTTTTAAAGCCAACTTGTATTTCTAGTAGTTCTCTGTCAGTGTACTCTTCAGATTGTTTTTGGGTAATCTTCAGCAGGATTTTACTTGCATGTGAGGCCATATTTAGATGGTAGCTAATTGTATAAAGGGAGATCTCATAGCCAAGTGAATTAAGAGTTATGCTTCCATGCCAAAGACAGGCATTTCAAATCCACCAGCTTCTCTGAGGGAGAAAGATGGACATTCATGCTTTTGTGCAATTTACAGCCTCTGAAAACCTGCTGGAGGGTTAACTATGAGTTGGTTCTGGCTTAAAAGTAATGAGTGAGTGAGTGAGTGAGTGAGTGAATCATACAGAATAACGTATTTCTAGAAGATTAAAAAAAAAAAAGACTGCTCATCTTTCAAGCACTGTGAGACTAGAGATGTCATTAAGGCCAAAGGACCTTTGGTGGCATAGTGGGAGTAGGGAGTTACAGTGCCTCCCAGAGGTCTAAACCACCAGCAGCTTTTTGGGGAATAAGATAGCCAGTCTCTTCCTGAGTAATTTACACCCCCAGAAACCTAGTGGAGGATCAACTACAAATAGATTTGACTTCATAGCAGGGCGTAGAGTAATTAAAGATTGTCATCTCCATCAATAACTACAGAAATCCTATATTTCTCCCTGATGCCAAAGGTCATTGTTTTAAAATAATTACTATTGATTTTCATTTTGGGTTTCCTTTTTACATTTGAAGCTTTCAGGTTAGCTAAAATACTTGAGTAATAATTGATCTTTTCTATATTGAAAATAATTAGTAAATGTAGTGTTAGGATTAAACACTACCCTTACAATTCTTTTAAAAGAGAATTTTACTTTACAAAAATGGAGGATTATAGATATACTGATATTGAATTCTTTTCCTGCAGTTTCCAGAATGTGGGTTTTTTGGCATGTATGATAAGATTCTTCTCTTTCGCCATGACATGAACTCAGAAAATATTTTGCAGTTGATAACCTCGGCAGAGGAGATACATGAAGGAGATCTAATTGAAGTTGTTCTTTCAGGTAAGTAACAGGTTTTTTTTTTACTTGTTGCCCTTTTTAATCAATAATTCTCATTTTCTGCACTACACATTTTGTTCAGTTTTGTTTGGTTCTTATATTATGGTTACTTTTTTTATATATAAAAATAATTAGCTATTTCAGGAACATTATCACAAATGAAGGAGGAGGACAGTAGCCTTCTGTTACTTGTGTATCACTAAGCTAAAGGAATTTCCACTTAAAAAAGAGGAATAAACTCTTCTTCCTTGAGTCAACAAAAGAAAAAATATTATTCTGAAATCTGTTCCCCTTTCTTCAGTTCTGTGAAGAGCACAAAAGTGAAAAGAGAATCAGGAAAAGAGGGAAAATAATTTAAGACATAATAGAGAAAATTGTGTTAATGTTTCCATAGCTTGTTTAAACAATGCTGCTTTCCTTTGTACTTTGTGGGCTCTTTCCTGTTTAATAGTTGCCTTTTTGCTCTCATCCACTATGCCATTCCTTGTCCCTTGTCCCCCACTGTTTCTCATTTCCTCCAATAGCACAGGATCAGATTGTTAGTAAAGGAAGGAGGAATGCCACGCTAATCCCATAGTAGACCTGCCACCATCAACACCCACTTCAGAGGAGTTGGTTCTGGCTCATAGTGTCCCTGTGTCAGATTGCTGTGAGAGTACTGGTGGCCTAGTGCTAAAGAGCTGTGCTGCCAACCCAAAAGCATGTGATTCAAATCCACCAGCTGCTCTGTAGGTGAACGTCTCTTCCATGCAATTTACTGCCTTTGGAAACCCACTGGATAGAGCCACCTATGATCTTAGTTCATGCCACAAAGAATTCACTCAAATAGTAACTCAAATTCAGCCTAGTATGAGATGAATTTTATGCTGACTACATTCCTAAAAGGGAGCTTTGGTGATTTAGTGATAAGGAGTTTCACAAAAGGTATGTGGTTCATATCTGTCACCTGCTCTACAGGAGACAGGTGGGTAGGCTCCTTCCGTGCAGTTAACTGCCTCTGAAAACCCACTGGAGGGTAAGCTATAGGTTGATCAGCTATGTACATAACCACCAGAAATAGTCTCTTTGAGAAGATATTACACCTTTCTCCCATGAAGTAGCTGGTCAATTTGAACCACTGACTTTTTGCTTAACAATCTGACAAGCAGTGTATCACAAGAATCTCATACTTCTTGTTTGGCAGGAACAGAGATAACAGATGAAAGGAAGGAACCCATGAACCTAGAACCCAAAGTTTTGTCACCAGTTTTTCTTCTTAAACTTCTCTTTGCAGCCTATTCTTAGAACCCTTGCTGTTACTTTTATTAGTCACTATGCTGTTCCTATTTCTTTTCTTCCTCATTCATCTAATCCATATACCCACCCATATAACACAATGCCAAACATTGTTACTCGTTCTCTGTCCTCCTCAGAGGTCACACTCAAATCTGCTCTTTATTTCATATGGACCATTAATCAGACATCAGAGGCATCCAGCAATGAGATATATCCTCTTGCAGGTGGGTTAAGAAGGTTTCTGTCTACTCCACAGTTTTTGCTGAGGGAAGAAGAGTTTCTTTCTCTGCACTGTTAGGGCTATGGAGGACAAAAAGAAAACATATCCTGGGGGTGCTGCTGGTGGTGGTTGTTACGTGGCATCAAGTCACCTGTTACTCACAGTGACCCTATAAACAAAAGACCTGAAGCCCCTCTACAACTATCGACAGTTATCAAAGTTCATATCATTTCCAGAGGCATGTTGTTTAGGAAGTGGATGCCACATTCCAAACCTGTCAATTCTATTCCTTTTCCCACAGAATCATTGCTGTACACTGGGATAAATCTTAATAATATTTCTTTTCTTTTATAACATTAGTGTTCTACTTCCCCAGTATATTATAAATGAAAAACTTTCATGGGTTTAAATAGACCTAAAACCTTTTTGTAATCTTGTCACTGAGAAAATATTTTTGAAGGTTTGCATGCCTAACCTATAGACCTACTTTTAGAGTTCAAGATTTGGAGCTGATAAAAGTTACTAATTAAAATTTTAAAATCACACTAGTAATTGCTGAAATGAATATAATGTCTGTGATCAGATAAATCTTTTCAGACATCCCGTGAGCTCTAGATACTTTTTTTAAAAATATTGTTCTTTTTTGTTTTTGTACCGTCAAATCAAATCTGACTGGTACGAGAGGAGATTGTCCCTCCTTCTCCAGCAGAGCATCTAGTGGATTCGAATCACACACCTCTGGGATTGCAATGCAGCTTCTTGCCACTAAGGCACCAGAGCTCGCCTAGATACATACTTTTACATAAATGAATAATTAATCTCATTGCAATACAGATACAAGGCTTATCTTAATACTTTTTTTTTCCTTTAAAGCTTTGGCTACAGTAGAAGACTTCCAGATTCGCCCCCATACTCTCTATGTACATTCTTACAAAGCTCCTACTTTTTGTGATTATTGTGGAGAGATGCTTTGGGGATTGGTACGTCAGGGCCTGAAATGTGAAGGTAAGCATTTTGAAATTTTTGTAGTTATTCGAAATACGATTTTACTATTTTTCTTCTGTAAAATATTGTGTTCATTAAGCCTCAGTAAAATGATAAGATCACTGATTGAAGAAAATTAACAGATAAGTGTATAACACTGAAGAGACACATTATGCAAAAGTCAGTGTTGTTGTATACACTGTTACATGCAAACTCTTTAGATAGTAAGTCCAACATATGTAAAAGCTGTTGTTGTTGTTGTTGTTGTTATGTGCCATCGAGTCGCTTTCAACTCATAGCGACCCTAAGTACAACATCCCTAAACTCTCCTCTGTCCTGTGCCAATCGCACTGTCTCCGATACACCCATCCCGATTACCCCAGTCACTGAATCAATCCACCTCATAGAGGGCCTTCCCCTCCTGCGATGTCCCTCCACCCTCCCAAGCATGATGTCCTTCTCCAAGGACTGGTCTCTCCTTACTACATGTCCAAAGTATGTTAGACAGAGCCTCAGAATCCTTGCCCAAGGAGCCACATGGTTTAAACCTTTCCTGGATGAATCTGTTTTCCTAGCAGTCCATGGTAATCTCATTACTCTTCTCCAGCACTACAGCTCAAAGGCATCAGTTCTCCTTCTATCCTCCCTAGTCATGTCCAACTTTCTGATACATAACAAGTGATAGCAAAGACCATGGCCTGTATCAGACACACCTTAGTCTCCAGAGAGACACCATTGTTTTTCAGTACTTTGGAGAGATCCCTAACAGCAGACTTTCCCATGACAATATGTCTTTTAATTTCCTGGCTACTGGTGCCAAGAGTGGTGCCTGGAGCCAAGCAAGCCATTACACAGGCATTTATTGTGACTATCAAGACATTCTGTCTAAACTGAAGTTAGGTGACACATGACTGTATCTTGATATACATAGTTAGAGGTCATCATTTAAAATTCTGATACAGATTAACATGTCCAGTGTCTGTTGTTAACCTTTGGTCTATAAAGGGGGCTACTTTTTACCAAAGTACCAAAATTGTTATTAATCTTTATCAAAATACATATGTAGGCAAAGTATATAATAAAAGTGTGTTTACTGTCCTTGGAAACAGAACTTAATATAATAAATTGGTATATGTTTGTTTATTTAAAAACTATTCTAGACCTTGCGAATAGTTATAAAAGAACAGTCAGTTAAACCATTTAAATCAGTACCATTTTCATTCTAATAAAACAAGATGATTTTTCCCAAATGGAATTTAAAAAATAAAAATTATTGATTGGTGACTGGGTAACTAGGCAATGCCCAAAATATAGAAAGATCTGGGCTCTGATCCTGACTGCCATTTACTTGTTCATATTCTTGGGCAACTTATTAAACCTCTTTGAGCATCAGTTTCTTTTCAGTAGAATATAGTTTATCTGCTGGATTTCATGAATGGAAAATGGTTAAAGACCAGATGGCTAGATCTTTTCTCCCACACAGTGGACAGCGGGTTTGAATTACTGACCTTTCTGCTTGCTGTTGAAGGTGAACCAGCTACCCCACCATACTAACTGACGTTAGTATTGGTAGAAGGAGCCTTAGTAATACAGTGGTTAAACACTGGACTGTTAATTGAAAGACTGGTGGTTTGAACACATCAGCCACTGCACAAGAGACCTGGAGATCTGCCCCCCATAAAGTTTACAAACTTGGAAACACTATAGGGCAATGATAAAAAACAATGTGGGTAAAGTTCTCGTCACAAAGTAGTTGACCATTTACTTACCAAAATAAAATACCCAGCCAAACTCACTTCTGTGTCATTGATTCTGTCTCATGACCACTCTCTATTGGGTTTGCAAGGCTGTAAATCTTTACTGAACATAAGTTTTGTCATAGACCAGCTGGTAGATTTTAACTACTGCCCTTTACATTAGACACCCAGCTCATAATATACTATGCCACCAAGCATCCTTGTAGTAAATTGCAGAGTTTTAAAATTCAAGATTATACATTTCAAAGTGGGCCAAGTGGTATTTTCTCATCTGAAAACTTTGTATCTTGCTGAGCTAACCCATTGATCAGGTAATGGAGCTATGTAAGAATGGTAACTTATTCACCAGTATTGGTTTTTTGAAGATTGATCTTTCAGATTTTATAACTGAATTCAGAAGCTAAAAAGGTATTGAATACTGGTTAGCCTTAAATATTTGTTGAAGGAAAGATTCTGGAAGTAGAAGTGACAAAATGAAAAACAAACAAACCCTAGTATTTGAGGACACATGCCGTATTTCATATACTGCTTGAAATCTTATTTGATATTCTTTATAAATCTGAAATAAAAGTACTTATCAAGGGGGGAAAAACTGAGAGCCAGATGAAGTTTATGTAAGGTTACATAAGTATTGAAGAAGCAGAGAGAATATTTGAATTTATGTTTAAGTTATCAATCATCGATGTGTGTCATTGGGGTTGAACTGATTTATAGCTGACCCTTCAGCAGGTTTTCAGAGGAAATTGCATGGGAGAAGATTGCCCATCTTCTGTGAGAGAGGGAATGGACTCAAACCATGTACCTGTGATTTGGCAGTACAACTGCTTACCACTTTCCATCAGAGCTCCCTCATCTTCATCATAGTGAACATTTGTAGACTAGAAGAGTTCATTTAATTTTTATGAAGATATTTTGAGGTACAAGAGCTGATGTTAGAAAATCAAAAGAGATGAACTCACTAGGCCTTTCTTAAGCTGAAGGAATGAAAGAACAAACCAAAGTCCAAGTGGCATTGCTTAAGGATGCTCTGGGCAGAATATTGAATGATCCAGGAAGCATTGAAAGAAGATGGAAGGAGTACACAGAGTCACTGTACAAAAAGAATTGACTGACACAGAAGAATTATATGACCAAAAAGCAGTTGTGGTGAAGGAGGAAGTTCAAGCTGCTCTGAGGGAATTGGCAAAAAACAAGTCCCCAGGAATTGATGGTATACCAGTTTACATATTTCCATAAACAGATGCTGCCTTAGAAATGCTCACCTGGTTGTCCCAACAAATCTGGAGGACAACTACCTGGCCAATGGACTGGTAGAGATCCATATTTATTTCTATCCCCCAAAAAGGTGGCCCAACAGAGGGTAGAAATTATCAGTGTCACTAATATCACACACTAGCAAAATCCTAGGTTATACAAGAACAACTGGAACTGTACATTGACAGAATTTCCAGAGATACAAGCTGGATTCAGAAGAGGCTGTGGCACTAGAGATGATCTTTGCTGAAAGCGAAGAATACCAGAGGAATGTCTCTCTGTGTTTCATTGACTCTGCAAAGGCATTTGGCGTTGTGGATTACAACAAATTGTGGCTCAACTTGAGAAGAATGGAAATCCCAGAACAATTGATTGTGTTCATACAAAACCTATATTCAGACCAGGAGGCAGTCATCAGGACAGATCTAGGAAACACTGCATGATTCAAAATTAGGAAGGGAGTGCATTAAGGATGTGTCTTGTCTCCACACCTTTTCAATCTATATACATAACAGATAATTTTGAAGGTTGGACTTTATAAGAAAGAGTATGACATAAAGGTTAGAAGAAGACTCATTGACAGCCTGCTTTAGGCAGATGACACAACCTTGCTTGCTGAAACTGAGGAGGACCTGAAGCATTTGCTGGAGAAGGTCATGGACTGTAGTCTTAATATGGATTGAAGCTCAAAATCAAGAAGAAAAAGATTATCACCACAAGGCCAATTCACAGCACTGTGATAGATGGAGAAGAGATTGAGGTTGTTAACAATTTCAGCTTATTTGGCTTCACAAGCAACACTCTTGGCACCAGCAGTCAGGAAGCCAAAAGACAAATTGCATTGGGGAAGCCTGATATCAGGGACCTTTCCAAAATGCTAAAGAGCAATGATGTCAGTCTTGAGACTGAGGTGTGCCTGATCAAGGCCATAGTCTTCACAATTACTTGCTATGCATCAGAGAGCTGGACAGTGACTAAGGAGGACAGAAGAATCGATGCCTTTGAGTTGTGGTGCTGGGGAAGAGTATTGAACATACCATGGACTGCCAAGAAAACAAATAGGTCTGTCTTAGATAGGGTGAAAGCAAGATTTTCCTTGGAGGCTAGGATTTTGAAGCTGTATCACACATACTTTGGGCACGTGGCCTTAGAGAAGGGTATCATACTTGGAAGAGTGGAGGGGACAGCACTGGAGAGAAAGATATTAGACAAGATGGATTGACATGAACTGGGGCAATGAGGTTAGTTATGTCGGAATTAGTGAAACTGGCTCAGTATAGGGCAGGGTTCGGAGCTATTGTACATATGATCACTAAGAGTCACAGGCAACTCCATGGCACATAACAACAGCATTAGTAATTAAGGACTTGTAGAAAAAGAAAGGTGAAATGACCTTCTGGCAGGTACCTAACTACTAAGAAGTAGAACTAGAGTTGGAACTGATACAGTCTAAGTGCTGTACCTGTCCCCCTCTGGGCCACTAGAGACTGTGTGAGGCATCCAAATAAGACTTTCTTCTTAAGTCTCACAGCCATGCAGTAGATTTTGTATACTCTATTATACATACACACACAAATTTGATTTGCATTTCTTTACATTTATGTTTATAAATGCTATTAAATGATTCACATTTAACTATTTTTAAAAATTCTTCTTGTATCCATATAAAAGGTAGATACATTGGAAGTTAAGTGGTAAAGGTAGTTTACAACAGTTAGTTGGTACTTTGGATTAAGATACTGTTGAGTATGTCGTCATATTAGAATTTGTCATAGCATCTCTCCCATTACAGAGACAGCAAGACTACTTGTTTAAATTACATTGGCAATTTGTAAAAATATATACAAGGGCCCTACCATAGAATCTGACTATACAAAGGCATTTGTTGTGTGGATCACAAAAAATTGTGGTTAACTCTGAGAAGAATGGGAATCCCAGAACACTTGATTATGTTTATGCAAAACCTGTACTTGGACCAGGAGGCAGTTGTCAGAACAGAGCAAGGAAAGACTGCATGGTTCAAAATTGGAAAGGGTGTATTCTGGGAATGCATCCTGTCTCCATACCTTTTCAATCTAAATGCAGAACAGTTCATCTGGGAGGCTGGTCTCTATGAGGAGGAGTGTGGCATCAGGATTGGAGGAAGACTCATCAACAGTCTGCGTTATGCAGATGACACAACCCTGCTTGCTGAAACTGAGGAGGACCTGAAGTGCTTGCTGCAGAATGTCAAGGAATGGAGCCTTAAATATGGATTGAAACTCAATATCAAGAAAACAGATTCTCACCACTGAGCCGATTGGCAGCATCATGATAGATGGTTATGAGATGGAGACTGTAAACAGCTTCAGTTTGCTTGGCTTCACAATCAACACTCTTGGTACAAGGAGTCAGGAAATGAAAAGACAAATTGTGTTGGGAAAGTCTGCTCTCAGAGACATCTCCAAAGTCCTGAAGCGCAATAATGTCAGTCTGGAGACTAAGGTAAGCCTGATCCAGGCCATAGTCTTCCCAGTTACTTGCTATGCCTCAGAAAGTTGTACAATAACTAGGGGTGATAGATAAGGAATTGATGCCTTTGAGCTGTGGTGCTGGAGAAGAGAACTTGAATATACAATGGAATTCCAGGAGAACAAACAAGTTCATCCTAGAGAGGGTGAAACCCGTCTGCTCCTTGGAGGCAAGGATTCTTAAGCTTCGTCTGACATGCTTTGGACATGTTACAAGGAGGGACCAGTCCGTAGAGAGAGATCTTGTGGTTGGGAGGGTAGAGGGACAGTGCAGGAGAAGAAGACACTATGAGGTGGATTGATTCAGTGACTGGGGTAATAGGGATAGGTGTGTCGGAGACTGGCACAGGACAGAGCAGGTTTCAGGGTTATTGTACATAGGGTCGCTATGAGTTGCAGGCAACTCAACGGTACATAACAACCACAACCTTAGAAGACTGAGTTGGAGTCACTGAGGTAGAACCTAGGGAGCTAGAGTTGTACTGACAACACAAAGGCAGGTGATTTGGATCCACCAATAACTATGTGAGAAAAAAGATGGGTATTCTCTTCCCATACAATTTACAGTCTCTGAAAATACAGTGGCATGAGTTGGTTCCAATTCAGCAGCAAGGACTTGAGTGAAAGGTAAGACCTGTGTGCATATCTATGATTTAAAACAGCCTTTGAAGGTGGGAATCTGTAAACTTCTTTGGTAAAAAAGCCAGCCTTGGGAACTGTGTGGTCTCTGTTGAAATCACTAAACTTGTTGTAGTGTGAAAGTAGCCATACAAAATATGTAACCACCAGCAGATGCTCTGCTGGAGAAGGAGGGGCGATTTCCTCCCGTACCAGTCAGATCTGATTTTACAGTACACACAAAAATAATAATGGTTTTAAAAAATATGTAAACAAATAAAACTGGTTATGTTCCAATAAATTTTCATTTATGGACCCTGAAATTTGAATTTAAGATAATTTTTCATATGTAGTGGGAGGGATTTGGTCTGCAGGTTGCATTTTGCTGACCAGTATTCTAAGCCAGTGATTCTTAAACTTTATATCACTTGTATTCTCTTAAGACATACGCTAATAACCTGTTGTTGTTGTTTTTAAGTGCCAACCTGTTGTTGTTGTTGTTAAGTGCCATCGAGTCACAGGCGACTCATAGCAACCCTATGAACGAAGTCCTGGATACTTCCTGTATATCTTTTGTCCTTTTTCCAGGTTCATAGTGTTTCCAGAGGCAAGCTGCTATGGAAGTGGATGCCACTCCTGCTTCCAAGCTTGTTTTAATTGGGGAGGTCCACCAAACACTGTCCACCATGGGTAACCATTCTCTCATTTGACTCATCAGTGTCACAGTATTTGGCTTCACAGCAACCACGAGTTACCTCTGTACAGCAAGTGGATATACCAGGGTTACACGACTAGAAAAATGTTTCACCAAAAACAATTAAAGGCAGGCCTGAGGGCCGTGGAGTAGAGTCACCCACCTTTGGCTTGGGAACATGGCTTTCTGTCCGCTAAGCCGACTGCTCGCTCTCTCTTTCTCTGTGCTGTTGGTGGTGGTAGTGTTGTTAAGTGCCATCGAGTCACAGGCAACTCATAGCGACCCTATGAACGAAGTCCTGAACACTTCTGTGTACCTTTCTCCAGGTTCATAGGGTTTCCAGAGGTAAACTACTGTGGAAGTGGATGCCATTCCTGCTTCCAAGATAACCTGTTAGAAAAGTAAATTATTGGGTCACACTTTAAGAATGACTACTGCTTTAAGTGAATTAAATTATTTTAAATAAGCTTTTCTATAGTGAGTTGCAAGTGACTCGACGGCACATAACAACAACATAGTCCTTGAATTTCATCATTTCCACTGTTACTGCTGATTTTCATTAAATGTATAATTCTACCAGAGAAAAGAAACTAAATAAAAGAAATGCTCTTTATGTATCACATATGCTAAACATTGAACAATTTTCTCTGTTTTTTGCTTTTTAAAAAATACATGTAGGCTGTGGACTAAATTATCACAAACGATGTGCCTTCAAGATTCCAAATAACTGTAGTGGAGTAAGAAAGAGACGTCTGTCAAATGTTTCCCTGCCAGGACCTGGCCTCTCAGTGGCACGACCCCTACAGACAGACTGTGTGGTCCCGTCCAGTGAAGAGGTATGTATTATAAAGTAGTAAATGGAAATTTTACTCACTGTATGCATGTGTTTCTACAGTATGTATGACATCATGTTGGATGATAAACTATATACTAAAGAATAGGAACACTTAAGAAAACTTATTATGTGTAATAGTGCAGAATCTGTCAATAATGATAAATTACGTTTTGTTTTCCAGTAATAATAAATTGTATCTTGTATTCTGATACTTAGTAGTGGAAACAGAATAAGAATGATACATTTTTTTGTACCTTGATGAATTACATTTCTAATACCATCACATTATCTACGACCTGAACCTCTGCAATAATCTACTCATCAGGTATCTCAGCTCCTGGACCACTGTTTCTCTTTCACAATGTAGCCAGCTTGAGTTTCTTTTTTTTTTTTTCCCATCATCAAGCAAGCATTTATTGAGCATTTATTATATTCTCAGAGCACCATTTGGATCTAGAGAGAAAGACCACTATGCAGATTAAATTTCTTGTTATGACAGAGCTGAGTGTAGACTGGCAACGAGGGCAGAGAGGACGTAATAAGAGAGCCACGAAGTGGCTTTGGCCTCAACCACCCCCTTCAGCTGGCCACCTGGACATTGGACGCAATGGCTTGATGGTCAGAGATGGGTGCTCCAGCTCCATGGTCTTCTGGGGGAGCTGCAGGACACACTTCACTATCCTCATCCCTTGGGACCCTTCCTCCTGCAGGATATGGTCAAAGGTAACGTCCCAGCTGGTCACTGGTGATGGGCCCGGTCAGGACAGCCAGGGCACGCTGTGGAGGGGATAGTGGAAGGGGGTGGAGAACAGGAGGGCCAGGTGGACTTCTGGGCCCTGGTAGACCGACAGGCCCACACTGCCCTGGAAGGCAGAACTGGCCTTCACAAAAGAGCAGCTGATGAGAAGCTGCAACTGCAATCTCAGAGTTGCACGGTTCGAATCCACCAGATGCTCTGCTGGAGAAGGAGGAACAATCTCCTCCTGTACCAGTCAGATCTATTTGATGGTACACACAAAAAATAATGAAATAAAATAAATTTAGGGGGAAAAAAAAGAACAGCTGATGCTAGACTTTGGGGAAAACAGAGGTGGAGGGGCCACTGGGTACAGCCACCCAGGCAGTAAAATCTGAAGAGGAAGAGGCGTTAAGATGTCACCATTGGCAGGGAGCTCTGGTGGCCTGGCGGCAAGAAGCTGAGTTGCAATCCTGAAGGCACATGGTTCGAATCCACCAGATGCTCCGTTGGAAAAGGAGGGGCAATCTCCTCCTGTGTCACTTGGATCTGGTGAAGTTCCTTATCTCTCTAAGGATATTCTCCTTGTTGTTCCTGACATTCTTCTTGGATACTTCCAGGAGATTCACCACCACGTCTTCAGTGTAGCTGTCCGCCAGTTTGATGGTGCCATAGTTGTCAACCCACTTTTGGACCTCACCTTCACAAGACTTTGTGTTGAACAAGGGAAAATGCATGATAACAGGTCCAGTATCTCCTTTGAAGATGTAGAAATCTGAGGGGGCTTTGGCACATTCCTGGAGTTCAGTCTCTTTCAATGGGGGGAAGGGGATGTTATTGAGGCCACAGTAGGCAGCAGTAGCCTTGAGGGTCTCGAAAGGATCGTCAGCACTGAAGTCAAAGGAGAGGATGAGGTGAGCCTTCCGAGTCGGCGGGAGAACGAGCGGATGGGGGTGTTGATGGCCAAGCCAGCGTCCACCAAGTGCAGGAACTCCCGTCCGCTCATGACCTCGTCGCTGATGCCACCTGCACAGATAGAGCGGCCAAACTTGTTCCCAGCTTGAGTTTCTTAATAGATATCTTTGATTCTGTCATTCTTCACCAAGTGTTTGTGACCCTCAGTCTGTTTGTTGAGGTGTGTTGTTACTGGTTTTCATTGAGTTGACACTGTCGTAATCACCTTGCAGACAACAGAATGAAACCCTGCACAATCCTGTCCCGTACTCACACATCCCACGGTTGTGGTCACCGTATCAGTCCATGCCGTTGAGGGTCTGTCTGCCTTCGCTGACCCTCCACTTTTCCATGCTTGACACCCTTTCTGGAGAATGGCCACTCCTGATAACATCCCAGAAGTATATGAGACAAAGTCTCACCATTTTTACTAATGCTAGCTACATTTCTTCCAAGACATATTTGTTTGTTCTTTTGGCCATCCATGGTATATTGAGTACTCTTCACCAGCACGACAATTCAAAGGCATCAATTCTTAGTCTTTCTTAGTCAGTATCCCAAGTTTCACATGTACTTGAAGCAATTGAAAATACCATGATTCAAGTTGGGTGCCCCGTAGTCTTTAAAATAGCATAATTGGTCTTCTAAAACATTAAAGAGGTATATTAGTATATCTGCATACAGATAAGATAATTAAGATTCACAGAGATAATTAGAGATACTAGGATTTAAACTCAGTTTTCATTTTTCTTAGTTCAGTATTTTTACTAATATACCCAACTCTTGAAAGGTAAAAGTGTATTAAGGAAGAAAGAATACTATATATTTTATAATACTTGAAATGACTTCCAACTCTAGATTATAGTTTTTATCACGTATCTGTAACTCCTTTGGTCTTCTCCATATTACTGGCAAAGTTAAGTCAAGGCTTTGGACTGCTTCCTTGATAGCGTATTCACAAAACATTGGTAAACTAAGGCAGATCTGAAACTTTAATGAAAAAAATCCCATATACCTATATTGCTTACCCCTTGTTGTTGTTGTTTACCATCAAATTTGAGCTGACCATAGTTGACCTTTCAGCGGGTTTTCAGAGGAAACAGGAGGAAATTGTCCATCCTTCCAAGAATGCTGTGGCATAAAGACCAGGGAGAGAAAAAGGGCTGTTATAAGCATATGTTGTTGTTGATTGCCTTCGAGTCGAGAACAACTCATAGAAACCCAATGAACAAAAGGCCGGAAGCCCCTTTACAACTAACGACATTTATCAAAGTTCATAGAGTTTCCAAAGGTATGTTATTTAGAAAGTAGATGCCACTTCGTCTTCCAAATGAGCATATGGAAGAGCATATGAACTACACAAGGGGACTGTGATGGAAGATAGTAGGTATTAGCGCCTAGTTTTGTAGGTTTCTTTTTTGTTTTTCCCCCCATCAGACAGGTTATGTGCCATGTCTTAACAAGGTTTAAAGGTGGCACATGTCATACAAAAGCATGAACATCCAATCATCATGCTCATGAACTGGAAAAAGGATAGTACCTAGTTTTAAAAGCCCCACAAGTGATAATGCTGTGCCATTTGTGCCCACCAGTCAAGCAGTCATGCATAGTTAAACTTGGATGTTTAGTGAATGAATGGAATGAGTACCTATAATTTAATAACTGAATTTTCCATTGACTGCCAAAAGAAAAAACAAGTCTGTCTTGGAGGAAATGCATCTGGGGTACTCCTTAAAGGCAAAGATAGTGAAACTTTGTCCCATATACCTTTGTCATGGTATCAGGAGGCGCCACTCCTTAGAAAAAGGCATCATGCAGGAAAAGGTAGAGGATCAGAGAAAGAGAGGAAGACCTGTAGCAGGTTCTATTGGCACAACAACTGTAACAGTGGGCTTAAACATGTTGGAGATGTGTAGGTGGCAGGTGGCACAGAATAATAGAGCAGAATTCCTTTCTCTTGTTCATTGGGTCACTATGAATTACAGTTGACTTCATGACACATAACAGCAACATAATTATTCCATTTATAAAGGGGTATGGGTTGAAAAGTCTTATCTCAGAATGCATTAAAAAGTTTTAATTGATACTTGCTTTAATTTTCTTTCACATTTGGGGATAAGAATAATTGGAAGATAATTAAGATATCAGGTATTTCTTAAAACAGTTACTGGCGACAAAGTTACTCATCTATAATAACTGGCATACAGAAAAATATATATAATTATTTATAATACTAATTTTTGTTTTTAAATATATTTTAGTTTTGTTGGCTTTTAAAACCTAAGGCTTGTCTCAGAATACTTTTAGACATCATGGTTAGTAATACAGCATGAATAACAATATTTCTTGGATTTATTTGGTTTTCCCATGATTAAGTCTTTGGTGAGGTTTCTGAAGGGATTTGAACATCTGTGATGAGTTACATGCCACCCTTTTGCATTTTATTTTTAAAATGACTATGCCTAATGAACAATATTTGTTCAATGATTGTATATGAGAATGAAAGTATCTTCATTTTTTTTTAAAAAAGCAAAATAGCCAAACAAAACACGAAAAATTCTTTTTCTCATTTTTTGTTTTGCTAAGTTAAGCTTCCAAAAGGAAGTGCTGAAATGCACATTTTTAGATTTTGGCAATAGAATTCTAGATACATGACTGTTGTGGTCAAGTCCTGTATGCACTACTTTGTCTTTAATATTGACTTAGGAAAATTGTGTTTTAGTCACATGTTCACCAAGAACCAAGTAAGAGAATTCCTTCGTGGAGTGGTCGCCCAATCTGGATGGAAAAGATGGTCATGTGCAGAGTTAAAGTTCCACATACTTTTGCTGTCCACTCTTACACGCGTCCCACAATTTGTCAGTACTGCAAGCGGTTACTGAAAGGCCTCTTTCGCCAAGGAATGCAGTGTAAAGGTAGGATTGGATGTTTTCCTTAATTAAAACTCATATCGTTCAGTTAGCAAATACGTTTAAAAATATTTATCTTTTAGAAACTCTATCCAAATAAATTCTTCTTTTAGCCTTTATTTAAAAAGGTATATATGTTTGTATATATCCATATGTGTGTGTACATAAACAGCTACTAAGTTCTCTAATTTACATACGTATGCCAAGCACTATGCTACAAAACAAACAGAAACTCCCTACTTCATGTTTAATCTTCATAGTAGATATATGTGAAAAAAAAAAAACATCACTAGTAGTAATAACCATAGTTCTCCATCTTATCAGCATGAAGAGGTTATGTAATCTAAAACCTATTTGAATTTTTCAGACATTGCTGCTTAACACACTTGTTCATCGCTTGCCAATAAGGAGCAGCTAATAAGCACTTCACTCAGTTACCCTCTTTTTGGTCTTGAAGCTGTATATCTTAAAGAAAGGAGACAGCCATCTTTTTTTCTGAAGAGCCACTGGTATATTTGAAATAACAGACATGTGATCAGCAACTTAACACTAGAGGCTGCACTTCCAGAACTGCTTGCTAGTAAGCAACTAAACTGGTATTTGAGATTAAATCTTTCTGATTCTGGAGCCAGGTACTGCCCACAATAGGAAAAAAATGCACACATGTTAGTACGAAGGTTTCATTGCTATTTTAATTATGTACTTAGGAGGCTTGTATAAAAAACTTTCTAGAAATAATCACAATGAAATAGACTTTCTTGGAAGCCACTAGAATTATTAAAGGAAGCAGTATACTAAGTACATACCAGTACTAACCCAGCACTCTAGCATAGAGTTTCAAAAACATACCTTAATGAGATTTGTATAGAAAAATAGACCTTCTTTCCTTAAAATTATGTAATATTTTTGTTCTTTTTAAAGATTATTTTTTTTCTCTTTGTCTCATATCTTCTTAATAATACTGGGCAAAGTCCAATGTTGATTAATTTTTAAAACCTAATGCATGAGAATGATTGTATGAAGCACAATGTATATGAACTTCATAAGCAAACCAGTTAAAAAAAATAAAAAGGCAATAATAAAAACTAGTATTGAGAATTGGAAAAAAATGCTGTATAATACAGTATTACTAGTTATTGAATCAGGAAAGAGTAGTCTAACTGTAATCTTAGGGCCTTTTTTCATGTAATTCATTTATTGTATCTGTTGTTGGTACAGTGTTCTTTATGTAATAGACATATTTGTGGAATGAGTTTCCAGGCTGTCCAAATAAAATATCAGATTTGAAGATTTTCAATAATAACTCTGATTTTCAACCCAGAATAAGATAATTAAGTATCATATTTAACTTAACTATTTAAGAAAAGTAAACTTTCTTGATAGTATATGACAGCATATGAGAACAGTGAACGGGTTATATGTCAGGTATTTAACCATCAGGCATAAATGAATGTTGAAATTTTATTTCAACAGCTTGCTTCTGGGTATGAGTTAATACATACATTAATGCTTTAACTTTAAAAGCTTTGCTGGCCTAGGGGTGAGAAGCTGCACTGCAATCCCCAAGGCATATATCAGCAGGAGAAGGATGAGCAGTCTCCTCCTGTGCAGTTAACTACCTCTGAAAACTCACTGGAGGGTCAACTATAGTTTGGTTCTGATTCAGTGGCACACAGCAACAAACAATAGTGCTTTAACATATCAACATGAAAGTGTATTGGCAATCACTTACTAAAGAATGTTCTGAAAGAGAACATTAAGAACACATGTACAAATTCTAGCCAACTAATAATCTTTGAGAAGGTAGTAAATAGTACTGCTCGGCTAAACAGAAGCAAAATATTCTAAAACCATAGGTAGAAAAGTACAATATTTTGTAGAGGACTAAAATAAATTTGTACATAAATGACTTCTGAGAGTTGCTTTGATGGCTTACTTAGGTCCATAATCACCATCCTTGGTACCAGCAGTCGGGATCAGGGAAGAAATTACTGAGGAGTAGTGATGTCAGTTTGAACACTAAGGCATGCCTAATTCAGGCCTTGGTCTTTTCCATCACTTGCTATGCATGTGAGAGCTAGATAGTGAGTAAGTATGCCAGAAGAAGAATTGATACCCTTGAGCTGTGGTGTTAGAGAGTTGCATTGAACATCCCATGGACTGCCAGAAGAACAAACAAGTAGTCTTAGAGAAAGTGCAGCCAGATTGCTCCTTGGAAGTAAAGATGACAATGCTTCATCTCACATACTTTGGGCATGTTGCTAGAAGAGGCTATTCCTTGGAGAGGCATATTCCAAAGTTTGGAAACTGAGAGTGTCAATGAAAGTCAGGAAAACTCTCACGAGATGGATTGACACAATAACTGTAACAGTGAACTCAAGTGTGTCAGATAATGAGGATGACACAAGCTAGCACACAGTTCAGATCTGTTATTCATATGGTCACTGTGAGTTGTACTTGACTCAGTGATACCTAACAACAGCTGGTGGTTTAGTGGTAAGGAGTTATGCTGCCAACCCAAAGGCACACAGTTTCAAACAGCTTGCTGCAAAGAAGAAATAATGATCATTCTCTTCGCATTCAGATTACTGCCTCTGAAAACCCGCTGCTGTGTCAGCTATGTGTCACATTTGTCTCGACGGTACTAATAGCAACAGTGACTTTGGATATGAAGAAGTTTAATTCTGTCACTGGATATCTAAGCTTATATAGCTTTAGGGAAGTGATGTTTGATTTTTTTTTGTTCATTATAAAATCACAAATTAGGTTTTTATATATAGCTAACTCAAGAGAGTGTGTGTGTGTGTGTGTGTGTGTGTGTGTGTGTGTGTGTGTGTACACACCATTAAATTAGATCTGACTGGTACAGGAGATTGCCTCTCCTTCTCCAGCAGAGCATCTGGTGGATTCGAACCACATGCCTCTGGGATTGCAGTGCATCTTCTTGCCAGTAGACCACCAGAGCTCCCTAAACGCATTAATTTTTTTAAAAATCACAAATTGCATTTCTTACATAGCTAAGTAAAAAATAAATTATTTCAGTAATTCCTGTCTTGTTTTAATATAAATTGGTACTTAAAAACCAAAATAATAATTGTAATTTACTTCTCAACCTGAAGAAAACTCTGGGAGTGTAGTGTGTTGTGTGTTGTGCTGCTTAGCAAAAGGTCGGTGATTCAGATCCACCACAGCTCTGAGGAGGAACTGCACGTCTTCTCTCCTGTGAAGATTCACAGCCTTGAAAACATGATGAGTCAGAATTTCTTGACAAACTTGGGTTTAGGTTTTTGTTTTGCCAATCTAAGGAGCAAAGGAGATAATTGAGTAGCAAAATTATTCTGGATTATCTGAGAAAATACATGAGTTAAAGAATAGCTTCTCATTCATTAACTCATCTTTTCATTTTCCATTATAAAAAGTTTGTGATACTATAAAAGCATATGTAAGATACAATAAAGAAAAACATATAAAAGTAAAATATATTTTTGCTGTTAGAAACTTCATATTTGCTACAGGTTGACTAAAATTTGGCTCTAAATATTCAAAGGGGAAAAAACCTTCACAATTTTCAAAGCTAATACGGTTTAAAATACCAGCGATTTAAGAGATCTATATTATAGAACAAAGTCAAACCTTGAGTTGCTATAATCATCGATGCTTTCGGCAGAATGTTAAATGATCCAGGAAGTATTAAAAGAAGATGGAAAGAATATACTGAGTCACTGTATCGAAAGGAATTGGAAGACACAGAAGAATTTCATGAAACAACATATGAGCAAGAGCCTATGGTGATGAAAGAAGTCCAGGCTGCTTTGAAGGAAATGGCAAAAAATAAGACTCCAGGAATAGATGGTATACCAATTGACATATTTCAGTTAAGAGATGCTGCCCTGGATGTGCTCACCAAGTTGTGCCAAGAAATCTGGAGAACAACCACTTGGCCAACTGACTGGAAGAGAGCTATATTTGTTCCTATCCCAAAGAAAGGTGACCCAATAGAATGTGGAAACTACAGAACAATCTCACTGATTTCACATGCAAGCAAGATTTTACTGAAGATTATCCAAAAACGACTGGAACAGCACATCAGCAGAGAACTATCAGAAGTCCAGGCTGGGTTTAGAAGGGGTCGTGGTACTAGGGATATTGTTTGTAGCTGATGTTAGATGGATCTTAGCTGAAAGCAGGGAATACCAGAGGAATGTCTATCTGTGTTTCATTGACTATGCAAAGGCATTTGACTGTGTGTATTATAACAAACTATGGTTGACTCTGAGAAGAATGGGAATCCCAGAACATTTGATCGTTCTAATGCGAAACCTATACTTGGACCAGGAGGCAGTCGTCAGAACAGAGCAAGGGAACACTGCATGGTTCAAAATTGGGAAGGGCGTACGCCAGGGATGCATCCTATCTCCATACCTTTTCAACCTATATGCAGAACAGATTATCCAGGAGGCTGGGCTCTATGAGGAGAAATGTGGGGTCAAGATTGGTGGACAATTTATCAACAATCTGCATTAATGCAGATGACACAACCCTGCTTGCTGAAACTGAAGAGGCCCTGAAGGACCTGCTGCAGAGTGTCAAGGACTGCAGCCTCCAATATGGATTGAGGCTCAATGTCAAGAAGACAAAGATTCTCACCACTGGACCAATTGGCAGCCTCAGGATGGATGGTGAAGAGATTGAGATTGTACACAGCTTTAGTTTGCTTGGCTCCACAGTCAACAGTCTTGGCACCAGCAGCCAGGAAATTAAAAGGTGCATTGCCATGGGAAAGTCTGCTGTTAGGGACCTCTCCAAAGCACTGGAGAGCAGCGGTGTCTTCCTGGAGACTAAGGTGCATCTGATACAGGCCATGGTCTTCACAATCACTTGTTATGCATCAGAGAGTTGGACAATGACCAGGAGGATAGAAGGAGAATTGATGCCTTTGAGCTGTGGTGCTGGAGAAGAGTATTGAGAATACCATGGACAGCTAGGAAAACAAACAGATTCGTCCTGGAAAGGGTTAAACTGGGTGGCTCCTTGGAGGCAAGGATTCTGAGGCTCCGTCTAACATACTTTGGACGTGTTGCCAGGAGGGATGGGTCCTTCGAGAAGGACATCATGCTTGGGAGGGTGGAGGGACAGCGCAGGAGAGGAAGGCCCTCTATGAGGTGGATTGATTCAGTGACTGGGATAATCGGGATGGGAGTGTCAGAGACAGTGCGATTGGCACAGGACCGAGCAGAATTTAGGGCTGTTGTACATAGGGTCACTATGTGTCGCAAGCGACTCGACGGCACATAACAACAACAACAACATATTATATGTGAGTGTTCCCTCTCATCATTGCCACAGAATTATAACCAGCTCATGACTGACCCTTCAGTGGGTTTTCAGGGCTGTAAGTCACAGGAGAGAAAATTGTCCATCTTTCTCCCATGAATCCACTGGTCAGTTCCAACCTCCAGAGAGGCATTCCCTTTGGGTTAGTACAAGTCTGCAGACTAAACTACCACAGTTTTCCCTAGGGATTCTCATTTAAAAGGATAGTATCCTCTAATGTGCATCTTTATACTAGACCAAGTTTTTAATTTTATGATGCATTTTCTTATGACCTTCAACAATGCTGTTGGCACTAGACCCACGATTTACTTGATTCATAAGTATTTTTAAAAACATGCTGATTGGCAAATATTCTAGCATTCAGGACTCTTTTCTCCCAGTCCACCTACTTATTGTTGGTAGATGCCTTTCAAAGATGGTTTTAGATAGTGGTTATGGTAATGAGCAAGGCTTGTTAAAACAAATTTCTGGACTCTTCCTAGAATTTGGTGTATAATTAGTCTGAGTCGGGACCCAAAAGCTTAAATTTTTGATGTGTTCACTTCTGGTCTGAGGATCACACTTTGAGAGCCAAAGAGTATTAGTATTGGACAGCTTGAACTTTAAGTCCATTATTAACACCAAGGTTCTTACAGTCTAAAGAGAACCATTATGTGAAAATAGGAGCTCTGGTGACATAGTCTAAAGACAGTAGCCTCTCTAACAGTTCAAATCCACCAGCAATTTCTCAGGAAAAAGATAGAAGATATTCTCTTCCTGTGCAATTTACAGCCTTGGGAAACCTGGAGAGTCAGCTTGTCAACCTGGCTTGACAGCAGTGACTTTGGGTTTTGGCACTTAAGAAACTCAGTTCTTCATCTTAAGATTATATGTGAAAGCCTTATTAGGTTCCTAATAAATGTTTGATAATCACAGCTTGATACCAGCAGCCAGGAAATCAAAAGAAGAATTGCACTGAGAACATTTGCAGTCAGGGACCTCTCCAGAGTACTGAAAAGCAACGATGTCATTTAGAAAACTACAGTGCTCCTGAGTCAGGCCATAGTCTTCGCAGTTGCTTGCTATGCATCAGAAAGCTGGACAGTGTCTAAGGATGAGATCAAGAATATTGATGCCTTTGAGCTGCGGTGCTGGAGAAGAGGATTGAATATACCATGGACTGCCAGGAGAACAAACAGGTTCATCATAGAGAGGGTGAAATCAGGCTGCTTCTTAAAGTCGAGGATTCTGGGGCCTCGTCTGACATACTTTGGACATGTTGCAAGGAGTGACCGGTCCTTGGAAAGGGGCATCATGCTTTGAAGGGTGGAGGGACAGCACAGGAGAGGAAGACCCTCTATGAAGTGGATTGATTCAGTGACTGGGGAACGGTGATAGATGTGTCAAAGATAATAAGTTGGCACAGGATTGAGCAGGGTTCAGGGCTGTTGTACATAGAGTCACTATGAGTCGCAAGTGACTCAACACACATAAAAACAAGAATCACAACTTGTTTCCTGCATATACATCCAATTTTAATATTTTGACATTGAAAGTATGTTCCTGAGACATACTGAATAGAAGTTTAATTAGCCTAAGAAACTTTCTGCATACTTATTCAGTCTGTAAGCTGAGCATATTATTAGAGTTGAATTCTGTGAAGAAGAATGTGGTGTCAGGATTGGAGGAAGAACCTACATTAAGATGATACAACCTTGCTTGCTGAGAGTGAGGACTTGAAACACTGCAGATCAAAGACTACAACCTTCAACATTAAAAAACCAAAAATCCTCACCACTAGGACAGCAGGCAGCATTGTGATAAATGAAAAAGAGATTGAAATTGTCAACTATACCATCTTACTTGGATTCACAGTCAGCACCCTTGGTACTAAGCAGTCAGGAGATCTAGAGATATATTGCTTTAGGCAAGACCTCTGTCATGAACCACTCCAAATTACTGAGGAGCAGTGATGTCAGTTTAAAGACTGAGCTGGGCTTGATTCAAACCATGGTTTATTCAATTTCTTGTCATACATCTGAGAGCTGGAAAAGGAACGACAGAAGATTAATTGTGAAGAAGGGTAGTGAATATTCCATAGGCTTCCAAAAGAATAAGATATGTCTTGGGAAAAGTCCAGCCAGAATGCTTCTTAGTGGCAAGGATAGTGAAGTTTTATCTCATGTACTTTGGGTATGTTGTTAGCAGGAGCTTTTCCTTGGAAACATTATGCTTAGAAAGGTGGAGGGTCAGCGAAAGGGAGGAAGACCCTCAATGAGATGGGTTGACACAGGACTGCAGCAAGGAGCTCAAGTATGTCAGATGATGAGGATGGTGCAGGATAGGACAGGGTTCAAATCTGTTGTTCCTAGAATCACTACAAGTCCTACATGACTGGATGTCACATAAAAACTAGAACTCTTAAATGGGATCTAGAGAGATGAAGTAAGTAAGATGGAAAGAAGGAGTCAGCTACTTTGAGTCATAGTGTTGGCCTTATTTCACAGATAGAGAAACTGAAGTCTGGCAAGGCATGGTTAAGTAACTTGTAGAAAGGTAAACAACTATGGGAGCTCTGGTGACCTAGTAGTAAGAAGTTGTGCTGCCAATCCAAAGGCAGGTGGTTCGAATCTACCAGCAGCTGTACAGAAGAAAGGTGGGCATTCCCTTTCCCTGTGATTCACAGCCTCTGAAAACCTGCTGGAAAATAAGTCAACCATGAGTTGCTTGTGTATTGGTGACACACAACAACAAGTAACTGTAAAAACTTGAGAACTGAGTACCACAACAAGATAAAGGAGAATAATCCAATTGAAAAATGGGCACAGGATATGAACAGACACTTCACCAAGGAAGACATTCAGATGGCCA